AAAATAAGCGCAATGGAAGCCGCTTTGGAGTATTTCGAACTTATAAATAAGCTTTGAAATCGCTTAAATAAGTTATTTTTACCGCTTAAAGTAAGAGAGTCCCTTTCAAAACTTAAAATATGGTGAGAGACCAAGACCTTGACCTTAGTGTGAGCTATCGGGATATCTTTATTACGCATGTCAAGCACTTCTATTCAAATTGTGTAACATATTTGAAAAACTGGAGTGAAAATTTAAGTGAACTAAAGCTATTTGGATGAGTTAACTTGAAAAAACAAGTTTCTTGGGCTGAAATTTTATCGTCGTGTGAGGCTTTCAAAGTCACAGACTGGAATTCGAAAAATATTTCTACCGAAGATCGATGGCTCGAAATCTTCCAAAAAGAAAGGGCTTTGAAAAATCTCAAAATTCTATGTGAGTTTGTTTTTTGTCTGTCGAGACCAGTGCGTCGATTGAGCGGTTGTTCTCAAATATCAGTAACTATTGGAGTCCCAACAAATCGCAGTTGAAAATATCTACTCTGGAAGCCATCATGCAAGTCTACACAAACTTCAAAGTTTCGTGTAATGAAATGTTTCAGTTCTTAAAGAGTAAACCACAACTTCTAAAGGAAATCCATAGTTCCAAAAAGTACGACTGGTACGAAAATGATGATCAAGATGTTCAGAAAGGAACGTCGAAAGAAAATTAACTACTAAAATGTATCATACATTTTTTATGTACTTATGTTTGATTAAAAAAATCGTTCTTATCATTGTTTCATTAAATATTCGTAAAATTTTGACCAGAAAAATTTCCTAGGGCACTAGCAGTGTACATATTTTCTTAAAAATTATAAATGTACTTTTTTTTTGTTAAAAAAATTATGGGGCCCGCGTAGCGCAAGCGGTAGTGTGCTTGCCTCGCATGCCGGTGGTCGTGAGTTCGAATCCTACCGCCGGCAAGAACAACTAGGCATTTTTAAAAATGTCTATAGGCCCCAGGTCGACTCAGCCTGAATAAAATGAGTACCTTGGGTAAAACCAGGGGTAATAATAGGCGGTTGAAGCGTAGCACTGGCCATGTTACCTTCCTTGTATACCGTAGGCCCTAGATATAGCAGACTACCCTGCTATACTCCCAAAGCCGCGTGCGGTATAAAACGGGAGACTATTATTATTATTAAAAAATTATGGTCACCCTAGGTATAGCAAATCTTTGTTTACGCGTTCAAACGTAACTCAGTCTTCAGTTTATTGACTGTTCAGAGAATTCCCTCACGAACTCTACAAACTCTGCAACACTTGGTACTTTTAATACAGACGAGGACCATAAATCTGTCAGTTGAACCTGTATTCAATAAATGGTTACCGAACCAGATCATATATTTCACTTTTCCCATAAAAGAAGACAGTTTAAATTTGTTAAAGGGGATCTCGGGTGCTTTACTTACACTTTAAACATTGTAATTGAGTGTAAGTGTTTGTGCTAAGCTTATTCTTATGTTCTAGTGGCAGTAATATATCATGCATAATTTTGCAAAATTACCAGAATATGTCTGTAGACTTGGTACAAGAAATGGATTCTTTAAATCATGAAAATTATTGGAAATACTTTTAAATGGTGCTGTAATTTATTATTTGATTTATGAAAAGTGGATGATTTATGAGTTATTTTAAATTATAAATATAGGTATAGTTAACTGGTTAAAATTTCATGGGATCAAACCATCGATATAATATATACTAAAGATAGAACTTATTGATATTTCTACATGTAGATTAAGGGCGCAACGACACTGGTTTAACAAGTGGCGACCCATGCTTTAAAAACTCAAACAACTGACACTTTAAATCAGTAGCGTTGCGCGCTAGCTGTCCTTTATTTTATCTTTGATACCTTGAGTTTTTGACAGATGACAACCCTAACATTCGACCATTGTTACCTGAACAAACTTATATCATGATATTAAGAAAACATTAGTTTTAATTTAATATAAAAACATGCATGTACGCCATGAGTAGTGTATTTTATTTATAAAATAAATGAACGAAATTAAATCTGTCAAAAATTAATTAATATTGAATTATTATTATTATATTCAGATTATGAACTATGACTATGACTATATAGATTATGAACAGGCTTTCGACAGCATTGAACACTGGGGGTTGAAGAAGCTCTGGTCAATAGTAGAATAGATTCAAGATACCGACAATTGATACATGATATTTACCAAAACGCAACCATGACGGTAATTCTGGACGACAAATTAATAACGAATAATATAAAAGTTAAACGAGGAGTCCGACAAGGCGATATAATTTCACCTAAACTGTTTACCTTGACCCTCGAAGACATAATTAAATCAACAGATTGGGAAAACAGAGGAATATGTATTAACGGAAAATACCTAAATCACCTTAGATATGCGGATGATATACTCCTGATCTCCTCGAACGACAAGAACTGGAATTAATGCTGAATGAACTTAATGAAAAATCACTGCAAAAAGGCCTAAAAATTAACTTCAACAAAACAAAAGTAATGACAAACACGGAAGACCAAGACGCAATAAAAATAAAAACAGAAAAAATAGAACAGGTAAATGAGTATATCTATCTAGGACAAGCAATCAAGCTAACAGAGAAAATCAAACAGCCGAAATTTCGAGACGATTAAGAATGGGATGGGCAGCGTTCGGCAAACTTTCTTACGTTTTAAAAAATCAAACAATCCCTCTATACCTACGAAGCAAGGTATATAACTCCTGCATAATACCGGTGCTCACCTACGGAGCACAGACATGGACATTTACACAGGCCAATTTGGATAGGATAAGGAAGGCACAAAGTGCGATGGAGAGACAAATGTTGGGTGTATCACTTAGAGATAGAAAACATAACCAGTGGATCAGAACCAGAACAAAGACAGTAGACGCGATAGAACAAGCAGCAAAACTGAAATGGAAATGGGCTGGACACAATGAACGTCTCCAAGACTAACGATGCAACAATACCATCGGAAAGTGGCGTCCATACAATGCAAAGAGATCAAGAGGCAGGCCACAGATGAGGTGGAAAGATGACATCAGGAAACAAGGAGGTCCCACATGGCAGAGAACAGCTCAAGATAGGGAAAGATGAAGAGAACTGGGGGAGACCTATATCCAACAATGGAAGGATAGAGAATAGGTTCAAAAAAAAATTATTATATTATATAAATGTAGTTGAAAGTGACGACAACACGCAACCGCCAGTAGTTTATATTTTGGTCACTTGGCTCTTAGCCAGTTTCATGCCATATATACTGCCGAAGGAATATTAGACTACTTACAAAGCCATAATATAGATCTAAGCAAATTATTTGTTACAGTGAATTGTTTGCCTGTTGCACGCTAATGAACTTTCTTTACGACATTTGCTACAACAACAAGATGGCCACACAAAAGGTCCGTATTCATATTCTGCTCCGATTAGATCCCTTCTTCACAGTTGCCAAAAAATGCCTGTTATAAAATTTAAACCCATAGAAGCTGTCTTGTCTCATAGATAAATAACATAATATTAGAAAATATTGTCTTGTCTCTTCTAAATGAAAATGATCCAATACAAGATTAACAGTATTTGTATAAACTATCTAAAACAATTAGAGATGGAATAGGTATATTCTCAAAGTTTGGCAAAGAGAAGTCCAGGGAAAATGGAACACTCACGTTAGTTAACGACAGCTAACCATATTCTTAAATTTTATGTAACTACAACTGATCCTTGTTAAAGCTTAAAGATGTTGGCTGAGTTTGTAATAAAAGTACATTCTCGTATGTGGTGTGAGATAAAAATATAGCCAAGATTGGAATGTTGTGCCAGGCATCTATGGAAATTACTCCGGGTCTCGAGAGATTTATTCAATATAGTGTTATCAATCATTATCAATAAAGTTATTCCTCCTCCTCATCAGCCCTAATACCTTTTGGGATGTGGTGACACCATCAGGCCTTCACAGTTTTTTTAGGATTTCCCTCCATCCTTCTCTGCCCTGGGCTAGTTGTTCGGCTTCATGTAACCCTTGGTTAATCAATGTTTTTGTTTGATCTACTATAACGGCTCGGAGATCTTCCCCTAGGTTTTTTTCTTCAACTCTCCTTCGACTATCAGTTTTTCCATCGTGCCTGTTCTTCTAGCAATTTGTCCAAAATACTGCAACTATCTCTGTTGTATTTGTTTAAGCAATCTATCCTTTACTTTTAGTTGTTCTAGTATATATACGTTAGTGCGATGATCAATCCAGGATATTCTCAACATGCGGCGGTATACCCACATTTCAAAAGCATCCAGTATATTTTTATCCGCTTTCTTTAAGGTCCACTTTTCGTATGCATATGTGGCTATGGGAAAAATGAGCGCCGTTACCAGCCTTAGTTTTGTGTGTATTGTTATGCTAGAATTTTTCCAAATTGCTATCAGTTTCGTCATGGCTGTTCTAGCAATAGTCAACCTTCTACGTATTTCTCTGTCACACCCTCCGTCATTTACTACTTCCGAAAGTATTTACTACTTCAAAGCCCCCAGTTTCTTTATTGTGTTCAAGATTATTCCGAGCTCTGTCTACTATCATGATCTTTGTCTTACTCTTATTTAGCTTTAGTCCGTATGTTTTGCTTTAGTTTTTCCAGACAATGCTTATTTTGCGCACCCGGAAAACATTCTAATTTCTATTTTAATAGATTCATATCGACATATTTTAGATGTTGCTGTGAGAAAATTTTTAAAATGTATAATAGTATATAACAGAGCCTCCTCTAACCCAGCATTTGGCCGATGAGGAATTGTAAGTAATGGTGAAACAAGTTCCAAATTTTGACCATTTTCCTGGCCATACTCAAGCGATGGAGAGATGTGTTAAGATCATTACTGATGCATCATAAAAAGTTTGTTTCTCAAAAATCTAGATATGGTTACATATGAGCTAAACTGTTGCTAGACAGAATTTGCCGTTATTTGAAAGTAAATGTAAATACTATGCTTCAGGAAGTGAGTAAGTAAAAAATGTTGAGCAAAGGAGGGGTGTAGGTGAAACTCCCCGTACAGATACCTCTTCGTGGTGAGTTCTGGGTTGAATGAATATACCGAATAATGTTAAATCTTCTACTTTGAGTACCGTAACCCAGGATTTAGGCGTGGGTAGATTCCATGACGATTTGCCGATATCGTTCTCGATTTTTCGCGGCATGTAATAATTCATCTGCTGATGAGGCAGTCCATTGACGAAGGTTTCGGAGCCATGAGTATTTCTTTCTACCAATTCCTCTTCTTCCGTCCATCTTTCCATTAAGTATCAACTGCATTATCCTGTATCTGCTTTCTCTCATTATATGCCCTAGATATTAGAGTTTTCTCTTTTTTATGATCTTTATTAAGTCACCTTCACCTTGACCTACTCTGTTTAACACTTGTATGTTTGAAATGTGTTGAACTTATGATATTCTGAGCATTCTACAATATAACCGCATCTCGAAGGCTTCTAATTAGTTCATCATGTTAACCTTCATCATTCAGGTTTGACATCCATACAGTAATACAGGATACACATAACATTTTAGGAACTTAATTCTCAGCTGTAAGTTCAGCTGAGAATATTCTTTTTTTCCTTTTCTTCCCTTTCCATGTTCTTATATCTGTTGAAACCAAATACTTGACAACATTCCAGTAGAGTATACAAATAAAAACTTAAAACTTAATATTTAATAGTAACAATAATATACCTGATTATAAAAATGAAATCTAATGAAATGTTTTAGTTAATTTTACTATATAATTGTAGCTAACCCAATTTACATACCGATATTTGTACTTCAAATTGATTTGCTTAAAGAATTTATATAATAATGAATGACACATATTTTGGAAGATCTGAGCGGTTGATAATTTCACTTAAAATTTTACCTAAATTGAGCATTTCATTCTTGAAAAAGAAGCTGTGTACTATCTGTCGTATAGATGTTTTAAACTCTTTCATCCTATGTTGCAAGAATATAAGGTCGACCTTCAATAATTTTAGGACATTTTACTGCTCCAGTCTGCTTATATTCTTTAATTGTTCTAAATTCTATTGTAAATAGTTGAATTCGCAACACCTAAAATTAGCACATTCCTTTAGTAAGTCTTGATTTTAATAATAACTATTCTGTAAAACACTAACCTGCTGTCTGTTTTATTTTTACTACCGTGGCTGTTATTTTTATTCCAGAATTATCAATTTTCATGTTTGTACATGTTTATAGTACATTATTTCTCATTTGATGATAAATGATCCAAATCTACTCGGCGTTTTTAAGGTGGAGAAGAATAATTACCACTAGTACCTACTTGGCATGGAATCCATATAGTTATCTTAATTAAATAGTTCTGAAAAGAACTGTTTTTTATATAAAATGCAAACGAAAAATCTAAAGATGTAAGAAATAACACAGAAAATACAGAAAATTGTCTATATAAATTTTGAATTTTAAAATTTCACAAATGTCATTAGTGTCAATATGTCATAATTTAGTGGAGTAAACTTGCCTGCGCTTCGACCAATTACAAACAAGCATTATGGCGCGGAAAATTTGAAATAATCCTCCTGGTTTAAAAACAGACCATAGACGTATGAAAGGCTACAGGTAATTGATATCACACTAGCCACGAGTAGTCACGTGGCAAGAATTATTAAAAAATGGCATGTCAGATGAAGTACCTTGTTTAGGCTCATTTTTAATCAAATGATAAATGTATAAAACATTTAACAATATAACCTTATTTTTTGTACCTTTGAGTTTTTTATAAGCATGCTTAGTAATTTTCTTATTTAAAACTATCACATTAAGTTTTTTTCTTTTTTTTAGATGCTGATTCAAATCGACAAGAAAGACAAGCTCTTCCTTATTCCAATTTCGTCTGTACTAGAGAAGGATTCAACGCAGATCCAAATAGTTGCAAGGTATTTTACCGATGTATAGGTAACGGCAAAGGTGGTTACACACCCATACGTTTTGAATGCGGTGAAGGAACAGTTTTTGATCCCGCAACAACCACCTGTAATTATCCTTATGCTAGCAGCAGAGAAGAATGTGGAGGAAATGCTATTGAGGAAATATATAAACCGATATCAGTACCAATCCAATCATCTACAACTGTAACAGTTGCTGTAACCCAAGCAACCGTTGATTATTCTAACCCTCTTGCAGGTGTATGCTCACAGGAAGGCTTTGTAGGAGATTCCAAAGATTGTAAAAAGTTTTACAGATGCGTATTCAATGGTCAAGGAAGTTTTATCAAATATGAATTTAGTTGTGGTACAGGTACCGTATGGGATCCACAAATATCGTCATGTAATTTCCCAGCAGCAGCCAATAGACCAAACTGTCTTGAGGAACAAGGTACCACGCCCATTCTTGTTAGAGCTTCAAGTAACAATATACAAAACTTTACTTCCTCTAATCAAAATTCTTCATCCTCATCCCAGCAAAGCTTTCAGAATTTTACCAGTAGTAGCAGTAGTTTTAATAATTCCTCAAGTTCCTCCTCCAGCAGTAGTTCTAGTTCCAGTAGTAGTAGCTCTTCCTCCAGTAGCAACTCTCAACAAGACAATAACCAAACTGGTTCAAATACATCAAATTTCACAGGGCAAAATTCTTCAAGTTCTAACCAAGGAAGTAGTAGCTCCTCTTCAAACCAAAATCAACAGAACCAACAAAGTTCAAGTTCATCCAACCAAAATCAACAAAACCAACAAAATTCTGGAAGTCAACAAGGAGCAAATGCATCTAATCAAAATCAACAAAATCAGCAAAGTTCAGGAAGTCAACAAGGCTCTAGTTCATCAAGTAACAATCAACAAAGTTCAGGAAGTCAACAAGGTTCAAGTTCCTCTAATCAAAATCAACAAAACCAACAAAGTTCAGGAAGTCAACAAGGATCTAGTTCATCTACCAACAATCAACAAAACCAACAAGGTTCAAGTTCTTCCTCGTCAAGCTCCTCCAATCAAAATCAACAAAACCAACAAAGTTCAGGTAGTCAACAAGGGTCAAGTTCATCTAGTAACAATCAGCAAAATCAACAAAATTCAGGAAATCAACAGGGGACAAGTTCATCTAATCAAAATCAACAGAACCAACAAAGTTCAGGTAGCCAACAAGGATCTAGTAACAATCAACAAAACCAACAAAATTCTGGAAGTCAACAAGGAGCAAGCTCCTCTAATCAAAATCAACAAAACCAACAAAGTTCAAATTCTTCCTCCTCAAGTTCCTCTTCCTCAAGTTCATCTTCCTCAAATTCCTCTAATCAAAATCAACAAAACCAACAAGGTTCTGGAAGTCAACAGGGGTCAAGTTCCTCTAACCAAAATCAACAAAACCAACAAAGTTCGGGTTCTTCCTCCTCAAGTTCCTCCAATCAAAATCAACAAAACCAACAAAATGCAGGTAGTCAACAGGGAACAAGTTCCTCAAACCAAAATCAACAAAATCAACAAAGTTCAGGAAGTCAACAAGGATCTAGTTCATCCACCAACAATCAACAAAACCAACAAGGTTCAAGTTCTTCCTCGTCAAGCTCCTCCAATCAAAATCAACAGAACCAACAAAGTTCAGGTAACCAACAAGGATCTAGTTCATCGAGTAACAATCAGCAAAATCAACAAAGTTCAGGAAGTCAACAGGGAACAAGTTCCTCTAATCAAAATCAACAGAACCAACAAAGTTCAGGTAGCCAACAAGGATCTAGTTCATCAAGTAACAATCAGCAAAATCAACAAAGTTCAGGAAGTCAACAAGGATCAAGCTCATCCAACCAAAATCAACAAAACCAACAAGGATCAAATTCTAATTCAAGCAACAATCAACAAAACCAACAAAGTTCTGGAACTCAACAGGAGTCAAGTTCTTCTAATCAAAATCAACAAAACCAACAAAGTTCTGGTAGTCAACAGGGATCTAGTTCATCCAATAACAATCAACAAAACCAACAAAATTCGGGAAGTCAACAAGGATCGGGTTCCTCAAATCAAAATCAACACAACTCTTCGACGTCCAACGTAAATCAGCAAAATCAGCAAGGATCTTCGTCAAACCAGAATCAACAGAATCAACAAGGTTCTTCAAGCACTTCCTCAAACCAAAATCAACAAAACCAGCAAGGTTCAGGTACATCCAATCAGAACCAACAAAATCAACAAAATTCGTCAGGTTCCAGTCAAAACCAACAGAACCAACAAGGTTCTAATACTTCCAACCAGAATCAACAAAATCAACAAAACTCTTCGGGCTCTTCAACAAATCAAAACCAGCAAAACCAACAAAATGCATCAGGCTCGAACCAGAATCAACAAAATAATCAGAATCAACAAGGTTCTACTCAGAACCAGCAAAACTCAAATGAAGCCCAAAACTCTGGCCAAATATCTAACAATAGATGTATTAAAGAAGGTTTTGCTAAAGATGACGAAGACTGTAAGAAATTTTACAGATGTGTAAATGATGGTAAAGGACAATTAATTAAGTATGAATTTACTTGTCCTGAAGGAACGGTTTGGGATCAAACTGCGCTTTCTTGTAACTATCCCTCTGCAGTAACTGGCAAATGCTCACAGCCCACACATTCACATCCTACTGAGACTGGTGAAAGTAGTAATCAGAACCAACAAGGTAACGGAAACCAAAATCAAAATCAACAAGGTTCAGGCAACCAAAATCAACAAAGTACTGGTGGTGAAGGCCAACAAAACTCTAGCAATCAAAATCAACAGAGCGGTAGTAACCAAAATCAACAAGGTTCTGGCAACCAAAACCAACAAGGAGGAAATAACCAAAATCAACAAAGTTCCGGCAACCAAAATCAATCAGGCGCTAGTAACCAAAATCAACAAGGTTCTGGAAACCAAAACCAACAGGGTGGAAGTAACCAAAATCAGCAGAATGGTAGTAACCAAAATCAACAAGGATCTGAAAACCAAAATCAACAGGGTAGCGGTACTCAAAACCAGCAAGGTTCCAATAATCAAAATCAGCAAGGATCTGGAAACCAACAAACTACAACTGAGCAGCAAAATTCTGGACAAATTTCTAACAACAAATGTGTTAAAGAAGGATTTGCCAAAGATGAAAAAGACTGTAAGAAATTTTATAGATGCGTAAGTGATGGTAAGGGACAATACATTAAATATGAATTTACTTGCGGCGAGGGAACGGTTTGGGACCAAGATTCACTTTCTTGTAATTATCCGTCAGCAGTAACAGGCGAATGTTCGAAACCCACACAACCTCAGTCTACTGGAGTCAGCCAAGACAAAGACCAGAACCAACAAGGTTCTGGCAATCAAAATCAACAAGGCGGTGGTAACCAAAATCAACAAGGCAGTGGAAATCAAAATCAACAAGGATCGGGCAACCAAAATCAACAGAACGGTACTAACCAAAGTCAACAAGGTTCTGGTAATCAAAACCAACAAGGTGGTGGCAATCAAAACCAACAAGGGGGTGAAAACCAAAACCAACAAGGATCAAACAATCAAAACCAACAGGCTGGTAGCAATCAAAATCAACAGAATGGTAATAACCAAAATCAACAAAGCTCTGGCAACCAAAATCCACAGGGCGGTAATAACCAAAATCAACAAGGCAATGGAAATCAAAATCAACAAGGATCTGGAGGCCAAAATCAACAGGGTAGCGGTAATCAAAACCAGCAAGGATCTGGTCACCAACAAACTACAACTGAGCAGCAAAATTCTGGACAAATTTCTAATCATAAATGTATTAAAGAAGGATTTGCCAAAGATGATAAGGACTGTAAGAAATTTTATAGATGTGTCAGTGATGGTAAAGGGCAATATATCAAATATGAATTTAATTGCGCTGAAGGAACAGTTTGGGATCAAGAGGCACTTGCTTGTAATTATCCTTCAGCAGTAACTGGCAAATGTTCACAACTCTCGCAATCACCATCTAACGGAGCAGGTGAAGTAAATAATCAAAACCAACAGGGATCCGGAAACCAAAATCAACAAGATTCTGGCAACCAAAATCAACAGGGCGGAGAAAACCAAAATCAACAAGGCAGTGGAAATCAAAATCAACAAGGATCGGGCAATCAAAATCAGCAGAATGGCACCAATCAAAGTCAACAAGGTTCCGGTAATCAAAACCAACAGGGTGGTGGCAACCAAAACCAACAGGGCGGTGATAACCAAAACCAACAAGGTTCAGGAAGTCAACAATCAACAGAACGGTAATAACCAAAATCAACAAAGTTCTGGCAACCAAGGTCAACAAGCGGTAATAATCAAAATCAACAAGGCAATGGAAATCAAAATCAGCAAGGCAATGGAAATCAAAATCAACAAGGATCTGGAGGCCAAAATCAACAGGGTACCGGTAATCAAAACCAGCAAGGATCTGGTCACCAACAAACTACAACTGAGCAGCAAAATTCTGGACAAATTTCTAATCATAAATGTATTAAAGAAGGATTTGCCAAAGACGATGACGACTGTAAGAAATTTTATAGATGTGTCAGTGATGGTAAAGGGCAATATATCAAATATGAATTTAGTTGCGCTGAAGGAACAGTTTGGGATCAAGAGGCACTTGCTTGTAATTATCCTTCAGCAGTAACTGGCAAATGTTCACAACTCTCGCAATCACCATCTAACGGAGCAGGTGAAGTAAATAATCAAAACCAGCAGGGATCCGGAAACCAAAATCAACAAGGTACCAGTAATCAAAATCAACAAGGTAATGGTAACCAAAGTCAACAGGGTGGTGAAAACCAAAATCAACAAGGCAGTGGAAATCAAAATCAACAAGGATCAGGCAATCAAAATCAACAGAACGGTACTAACCAAAGTCAACAAGGTTCAGGTAATCAAAACCAACAGGGTGGTGGCAACCAAAACCAACAGGGCGGTGATAACCAAAACCAACAAGGTTCAGGAAGTCAAAACCAACAGGGTAGTAGCAATCAAAATCAACAGAATGGTAATAACCAAAATCAACAAAGTTCTGGCAACCAAAGTCAACAGGGCGGTAATAATCAAAATCAACAAGGCAATGGAAATCAAAATCAACAAGGCAATGGAAATCAAAATCAACAAGGCAATGGAAATCAAAATCAACAAGGATCTGGAGGACAAAATCAACAGGGTAGCGGTAATCAAAACCAACAAGGATCTGGTCACCAACAAACTACAACTGAGCAGCAAAATTCTGGACAAATTTCTAATCATAAATGTATTAAAGAAGGATTTGCCAAAGACGATGACGACTGTAAGAAATTTTATAGATGTGTCAGTGATGGTAAAGGGCAATATATCAAATATGAATTTAGTTGCGCTGAAGGAACAGTTTGGGATCAAGAAGCACTTGCTTGTAATTATCCTTCAGCAGTAACTGGCAAGTGTTCACAACTCTCGCAATTACCATCTAACGGAGCAGGTGAAGTAAATAATCAAAACCAGCAGGGATCCGGAAACCAAAATCAACAAGGTACCAGTAATCAAAATCAACAAGGTAATGGTAACCAAAATCAACAGGGTGGTGAAAACCAAAATCAACAAGGCAGTGGAAATCAAAATCAACAAGGATCAGGCAATCAAAATCAACAGAACGGTACTAACCAAAGTCAACAAGGTTCAGGTAATCAAAACCAACAGGGTAATGGCAACCAAAACCAACAGGGCGGAGATAACCAAAACCAACAAGGTTCAGGCAATCAAAACCAACAGGGTAGTAGCAATCAAAATCAACAGAATGGTAATAACCAAAACCAACAAGGTTCTGGCAACCAAAATCAACAGGGCGGTAATAACCAAAATCAACAAGGCAATGGAAATCAAAATCAACAAGGATCTGGAGGCCAAAATCAACAGGGTAGCAGTAACCAAAACCAACAAGGATCTGGTCATCAACAAACTACAACTGAGCAGCAAAATTCTGGTCAAATTTCTAATAATAAATGTATTAAAGAAGGATTTGCAAAAGATGAAAAAGACTGTAAGAAATTTTATAGATGTGTTAGTGATGGTAAAGGGCAATATATCAAATATGAATTTAGTTGTGCTGAAGGAACGGTTTGGGATCAAGATGCTCTGGCTTGTAATTATCCTTCAGCAGTAACTGGCAAATGTTCACAGCCCTCGCAGTCACAATCTAACGGAGAAGGTGAAGTCAATAATCAAAGTCAACAGGGATCTGGAAACCAAAACCAACAAGGATCCAATAATGGTAATCAAAATCAACAAGGTAACGGTAACCAAAATCAACAAGGTTCTGGCAACCAGAACCAACAGGGTGGTGGAAACCAACATGGCAATGGTAACCAAAATCAACAAGGTTCCGAAAATCAAAATCAACAAAGCGGTAGTAACCAAAACCAACAAAATAATGGCAACCAAAATCAACAAAATAACCAAAGCCCACAGGACAATGGTAACCAAAATCAACAAGGCTCCGGTAACCAAAACCAACAGAGCGGGGATAACCAAAACCAACAGGGTAATGGTAACCAAAACCAACAGGCTAATGGTAACCAAAACCAACAAAACGGTGGTAACCAAAATCAACAAGGAAGCAATCAAAACCAACAAAACACATCTGAGCAGCAAAATTCTGGCCAAGTGTCTAACAATAAATGTGTTAAAGAAGGATTTGCTAAAGACGAAAAGGACTGTAAGAAATTTTACAGATGTGTAAGTGATGGTAAAGGCCAATACATTAAATACGAGTTTACCTGCGCTGAAGGGACTGTTTGGGACCAAGCTACGCTTGCGTGTAACTATCCCTCAGCAGTAACTGGCGATTGCTCACAATCATCTCCGTCACCATCCAATGGAAATAATCAGAACCAACAAGGTTCTGGTAACCAAAACCAACAAGGCAGTGATAACCAAAATCAACAAGGTAATGGGAACCAAAATCAACAAGGGGGTGAAAACCAAAACCAACAAGGTTCAGGCAATCAAAATCAACAGGGTGGTAGCAATCAAAATCAACAGAATGGTAATAACCAAAATCAACAAAGCTCTGGCAGCCAAAATCAACAGGGCGGTAATAGTCAAAATCAACAAGGTAATGGAAACCAAAATCAACAGGGTAATGGTAACCAAAATCAACAGGGCAGTGGTAATCAAAACCAAGGAGGGTCCAATAATCAAAATCAACAAAGTACTGAAAACCAACAACAACAGGGAACTGGTAACCAAAACCAACAAAGTAATGGGAACCAAAATCAACAAGGATCTGGAAACCAAAACCAACAGGACAATGGAAGTCAAAATCAAAATGGTAGCGGTAATCAAAATCAACAAGGTTCCGGTAATAACAATCAACAGGGAACACAAAAACCAAATAATTCGGGTAGTACTGGATTAGTTACAAACAAAAAATGTGTTAAAGAAGGTTTTGCAAAAGATGGTGATGATTGTAGAAAATTCTATAGATGTGTTAACAACGGTAAAGGCGGATACGACAAATATGAGTTTACTTGTCCCGATGGAACTGTTTGGGATGAAACAAATCTTTCTTGCAACTGGCCATTTGCAGTTGCAGGGAAATGTGGACAATTAGAGTCCATCAACAGTAACCAAAACAGTAGTAACCAACAAAATGGTCCCAACAATAGCAACAACCAACAAAATACTGGCACTAATTCCAATCAAGATAATAACCAACAGAGTGGTGAATCAAACAATAATAATCAGCAGAATATCGGTGATGGTTCAAATCAAAACAACAATCAACAAAGTAACGCATCAAATCAAAATAATCAACAAAATGCAGGAAACGGATCAAGTCAACAAAATAATCAAGTAGGAAATGGATCTAATGATAATAATCAACAAAATACGGGTAATAATTCTAGTCAACAAAATAATCAGCAAGGTAGTGGAACGAATAGTAATAACCAACAAAACACTGGTAATGGATCAAATCAGAACAACAATCAGCAGGGTACTGGATCAAATCAAAACACTCAACAAAATGCAGGAAATAATTCGAATCAGCAGAATAATCAAGGTGGTACATCCAATGGTAATAACCAACAGAATGTAGGTGATGGATCAAATCAGAACAACAATCAGCAAAATAATGGATCAAATCAAAACAATCAACAAAATGCAGGCGACGGATCGAACCAGCAAAATAATCAAAGTGGAAGTGGTTCTAACCAAAATAATCAACAAAACACAGGAGATAATTCCAGTCAACAAAATAATCAACAAGGTGGCGGATCCAATAATAATAACCAACAAAACATCGGTGACGGTTCGAATCAAAACAACAATCAACAGGGAACTGGAAATAATGGAAATAATCAACAAAATGCCGGTAGTGGAACAAATCAAAACAACAATCAAGGAAATAACCAACAGGTAAGTCATTAAATATTTTAGATCGATACAATTTTATTTTTACACATATATGGTAAAAACCGAGAAAAGATATAAAAAGTGGCAGATGGAAATAGATTGAGGTAGTGAGTTTTTATTTCTTGATCCTGATTTTAAGATTCGTAGATTCGTCCAATTAACTTTTTTTATTTGTTAGTATATAAAGTTGTAATCTCAATATGATTGAATTTTTGTTGTTATTCTGCTGTTTATGTGGTGTTCTTTTTGTAGCTATTTTTCATGAAAGTGTGCTTCATTTTTGTCAGTTTTTATTGTTGGCTGGAGTCATCACTTCATCGTAAAATCTTGTATTGAAGTTGTAGACATGACTCTGTCTGTTTTTCAATGTGCCTCCAGTAAGTTGTCGTTCCATAGTTTTCGTGGACTTCCTACTGATCGTTTTCCTCTTCGGGAACCGTTGTTGTTGTCTTTACTACTCTATTTGTTGTCATTCGGCTTATATGATCGTTTCATTCTAGTCTTCTGTTTCTTACCCAGTTTTTGATGTTCTTCACCTTGCATCTACGCCGTATATCTGTACTTCTAGCTCTGTTCTATAGTGTATTGCCATGAATGTTTCTGTGTTTTCATCTTTGCTATTTCTAACATTCTTTTTGTCCTCTTTGTATCAAGTCGTGTTTCTGCCGCGTATATCATCATTGGTCTGATGACTGTTTTGTATTGTAAATTGCATATTGTAAATTCTGCCTTCCATTTTTTTCCCGATATTTTTATTTCTCCATATTGTTTCATTCAGGCAGCCAGCGGCTCCATTTTTTAATTTCCTTAATGCTTCCTTGACACCTTCTACCCATGTTGCCTTCTGAATGTATTTCGTTTTTATTAGTTCGTTCTTTCTTTTCTTTGTCCTCTGATTATTCTCCATATTTCTTTTTGTGTTCCGTAGAAGTCGTGTTCCATCTGTTTTGAGAAGCTCTGTCAGTGTTCCATTTTTTAAATCTTGTATTTATGATATGTAATGATGCGAGGGAGCATTTAGATAACGCACTGTGTGGTTAGGTTAGCTGTAAACGGATTGTCTAGAGAACCGTCCCTGTATTTAGACATCTAGAACAGGAAGTTGATTGTTGGATTATAGTTCCAATATGAATTGGATTTCTTGTGGATTGGGCTTAGACTTTGGAATTTAAAAAACTATATAATGTTTGTATGGTTTTATTCGCGATATTGAACGGTATATTGAATGTTTTTATTCACGAATCTGACATAATTTGGATTTTACCCTGGTCATTTGTAGAGCTTTCTTTTCAAAATTGACCATATATAGTTTTTTTAGCTTGACAGATATTCTTCTGATATCATTTTTATGTTTTTATTAATTAGGATGTTCGAATATAATCTATCTATCTATATATAGCCCAAAATATATTGATGTGTTGAATATAGGCCTCTCTCATTTGTCTCCATTTGTCTCTGTCTTTCGTTTGTCTTTTCCAAATTGGACCTGCGCTTTGCTCAATGTCACATTTCCATCTAATTTGCGGTCGACCTCTTGACCCTTTTGCAGTATATGGTCTCCAGCGGCCAATTTATTTATTCCATCTTCCATCCTGATATCTTTCGTTATGCCCTGCCCATTTCCATTTTAATTTCAATGCATGTTCGACAGCGTCTGTTGTTTCGGTTTTGCATCTTATCCACTCGTTCCTCTTTTTATCTCTCACAATATTCCCAACATTGTCTTTCCATATCTCTTTTTGAGTTTTCTTTATTCTATCTAAGTGCTCTTGGTACACGTCCACGTCTGGGCACCATATGTCAGAACAGGTAGGACGCATGCATTAAATACCTTGGTTCTTAATTTTAAAAGTTTTTTTGATTTTTGATAGTATATGAGAGTTTTCCGAATACCGCCCACCCCATTCTCATTCTTCTGGTTATTTCTTTAGTCTGGTTACTTTTGTCTGCTCTGATAGCTTGTCCTAAGTAAATATATTCTTGGACGTATTCTATGTTTGTTCCACCTATGGTAATTACTGATCTGTCTTCTGTATTAGTCATTATTTCAGTTTTCTTTAGATTCATTTTTAGTCCTTTCTCAAGAGATGTTTTTTCTAGGTCTGAATTCATTATTCGTAGTTGTTCCATAGTTGTTGCTCACTAGGAGTACATCATCGGCGAATCTTAGATGATTTAAATATTTGCCGTTTATACAAATCTCTTTATTGTCCCAGTCTATAGATTTAAAAATGTCTTCCACGCCAGAGTAATTAGTTTGGGTGAGATTGTATCCACTGGTCTGACCACCTCTACAAATTCTAATTAATGGAGTTTGCAAATATATATAATATATTAATATTTATATATTATATATATATATATATATATATCTTACTCACTTATTAACATTAAATAACATTGAATTTACTTTAGACCACATGGTCATTTGCTGTGCTAATTTTTTACAAGTTCATATATGTTGTTAGTTGCTTAACTGTTTATACAAGATCAGCGTATTATGTCCATTTACTTAGTTTCATTCACATGTTTGTTAATAACATTGACTGCTACATATCTTTTTTAGGTAACAATTAACATCGTTTCCATGATTGTGTGGTTCTCATATTGTAATAATTTTTTAGATGAACTGATGATGCTTTCAAAACTCGAAAGCGAAACGTCTTCAAAATAGATAAAGTAGCCTATCACCTTTGTCTTTTATTTCTCCACCTAGAGACCGATATAAGAACCCACCACTCGTCTGAGTGATCCTTATATATATATTGGATTGACGGTCGTACTCCTTTTTCCGATATATATATATATAATATATATATATATATATATATATATATATATATATATATATATATATTGTGGATTAGCATTCTGTACTGTGAATCTATTCGCTTCTGCGCTTCTTCAACTGCCCATAGTTCTATGCTGTCAAACGCTTTTTTATAGTCAACAAACGCTAGGTATATTGGAAGGTTGTATTCGTTGATCTTTTTTATCAATATTTTAAGAGTGTGAAGGTGGTCGGTTGTGCTGTACCCTTTCTAAATCATGTCTGGTCAACTGGTTGGAATGCATCAAATTTGTTGTGTCGAATATAATGAGTGAACATCAAAACACTATGACGTTTTGTTTTCTACATGTAGTTTTGATAGGATTTCAATTAACTATTCAATTAACTTTGGACTATAATGTTCGGTCAGAACTCATTTCAACCCCTCAAATGTTTTTGAACTTGGTAGTTCTGATGCTAATAAGTCTTTTAAGATACTGTAAACTTCTCCACCAATTAGATAAATCAATAATTGAACGTACTTGTCTTCTTTCACTATATTACATAAAAACAACTGCTCAAGTCCCTCTAGAAAAGACGTGACATCACTTTTGGTAGCATCGAACTGTTCAATGGCCCCATTAATGATATTTTTAGACTTTTACGTGAATTTTTTTTCTGTGACTGAAGTATTAAATGAGGTACAGACTAACAAACCATAACCATTTATTAACTTCAAAACGGTTACATATTATTCAATTAATCAATCGAATAACGAAAATGAGTATTGATATAAAACTAATGATATTCGTGGATCTTATTCTAATGTATAATGCTTTAAGTAGTAATTGAATTCAAGTAATGGTTTATATATTTTATAGGGATCATCTAACCAACCAAATGTTTCAAGTGGAGTAGGAAGTACTTGTTCTAAAGAAGGCTTTTTAGGAGATCCAAACGACTGCAGAAAATTTTATAGGTAAGTAATAGTTACAATGTAAAGAATTAAGAAATGCCTCAGTGATCCATAAAATTTTATAAGTGTAGAAGACATCAAACAAAGCAAATATGGAAAAGTTATAGCCCACTACCAAATTCGTTTAGATTGGTTTAAATTCCAAAAAGAAGGTAATATCCCAGAGCCAACAAATATCTATAAGACCTTCAATATTATCTATAGACTTAGTGTATCGTCTTCATATCTAATCACATTAAGTAGTTCCCTGTTGATTTTTATTCCATATGGTTTTCTCTCAAGTGCCTTTTTAAATAAATTCCAAGTAAATATTGAACAATGTTGGCGACAAAATGCAACCTTGTCTGACTCCTCGTTGTATATAGATTTCATCGGTGTAGTTATCGGTGTAGTTTATCAAATTTCAAATTTCTTTTTAGTATTTGCATTAATTTTACATGCTGTACTTTATCGAATGCCTTTTCGAAGTCCACGAAACATGCAAATACATCTTTTCTTTGATCACGGCATTTTTGTAATAGGATATTAAGCACAAAAAGTGCCTCCCTGGTTCCCATAGCATTTCTAAAACCAACTTGGGTATCTTTAAGATCGTCTTCGCATTTGCATCTAATGCTGTTGTGAAGTATTCTGAGGAAAGAGTGTGCCTTATTAGGCTAATTAATCGTCATTCTGAGCATTGTGTTTTTTATATATTGCGACAAAGATGGATTTGAGGAAATCTGCGGGAATCACCCCGGTGTTATATATTAAATTAAAAAGTCTTACTACTACATTTATGTTACCATTCTCTATTAGTTTCAGTAACTCAGTTGGTGTATCATCTGGATCACAAGCTTTTCTAATTTTAGCATTAAATATAGCATGTTCTACTTCGCATTTCATAATTTCTGGGCCGTCAGTACAGTTTTGGTAAAATTCAGCGATTTAATGTGGTATGTAATCTATTGCTTGCCTTGGCCATGTCCCGTAAATCATGATAGGCTCTACCTAGGTTTGATGGATTGTCATTTTGGTTTCTTTTCTGATATTTTTTAACAATAGTATCATGAAAATTGATATTATCGCCTTCTTTGGATATTATATATCCGAAAAAACTTCCTACCTTGCTATAAAAAAAAACATTATTATCATTATTTTCCAAAACTATGTTAAAATAGGTTTAATAGAAAATCTTATATATTTTTATTTAGTGTCTGCTCTCAGGTGTTTATTATATCAAACTATATCTTTTAAGCATCCTGAAGAAGTTGATGCTTTATTGATAAGGTTTATTTAAACGTTTAGAGTCTTTTCCATTGCCTTGTTTTATCGTGATTTCGTACATTCTTAAAATATTCCAAACGATCACTGAATGCACCTCTATTTAAAAAAAAAACTATAATAGGTAATAAATAATATACTTGAAATTTTTACAGATGTGTTTCGAATGGACAAAATGGATACATAAGGTACGAATTTTCTTGTGGAAAAGAAACCGTATGGGATCCCAATAGCATCACCTGCAATTATCCATGGGCTGTAACGGGAAAATGTTATTCTGCTACTGTTCCTTCAGGTCCTACAGCCACAGAGGTAGGTAATATTAGATTAGATTAAATTAGATTGTTCAGATCATATCTTTACTGCCAATGATTATTTTTTAATTCTTATTATCTGATATTCTACTACTATAATTCAATACATATTTCCAATTCAACTCATATAATTTTCAGGACCCAATTTACACCATCGAACCGCCAGAAATTGTCAGTGTCACCAACGGACCCGAGCAGCCCGTAGAACCAATAATCACACCAGCTACTGAAGCTCCAGTGGGCACTGTAACGAAACCGTGCCCCATTGGCGAGCTCGAAGGCAATCAATTAACCTTAATCTGTCCAACCGGTTTCCGAAGACACCCAAGATACTGCAACCTGTTTTACCAATGTACTACGAGCAAAAATGGACATGACTTTAAAGTACTAGTATTAAGCTGTCCCGAAGGATTAATATTCGACGACAAAAAGGTGCAATGCTTACCTCAGAATGAAACTAGTACTTGCCAAGGCGAAATTGCATCCAGTACTCTTTATAGAACCCTGGAAGCAAATTCTATACCACCAGTAAGTATAAATACAATGCTCAACAATTTAAATATACCTAAAACATAAATATGAGGGATAACGTCTACAAGTATATTTTTTATAACGGTAAAAATGGCAATAAAATAACGGTAAAATAATGGCACTAACGGTAAATTAGCGGTAATTGAGTTGTGTATTGATATCGTGCGCGTAACTGACATTCGAAATCGCCGGTCGATTCAAGCGTTGTTTCTGAGAGAACGGTTTATTCTACAGAAAAAGTGTTAATAAATATTTTTGTTCAAAATTGTCTCAGCTACGTTTCTCGTTTGTGGGTAGAAGTGGAAACCGATTTTGCATCTTTTTTAGGGATCGAAAATTAAAATTATGAGCAAAATTCAGCTTGTTCCTATAATTTTTAGAGGTTCAATGGCATTTTCATCTTTGACTACTGGAGTAACTGTCTAGTTCAATGCATTTATAGTTTTTATAATTTTGCCCTAAAAAAATTTAGTAACATTTTTATTTTCAGTTGCAGATATACAAAAAAGATACTATGTGTCCCTCAGATGGAAACTATCTCCTAGATCCATCAGCTTGCAGCAATAACTTCATCAAGTGTGAAAAATCGAATAGCTCATCTCGAATGGAAGGATATATGTACAAGTGTCCCGAAGGATTCTCGTTCTGGAGAATCAGCCGAAGATGTGAACGAAATTATAGACTTCTAGACTGTGGAAATCTTAACAACGAAAACTCTAACTGGGATATGCCCATCGAATACGAAAACGTCTCTTTAAGAAGACGGAAAAGTGCGTATGCTGAGTGGTAAAATGTAAAAATAGGTTTTGTGATTTACCAAATGCTAAACAGATGACGTAAACAGTTCCAAAAAGTTAGGTTAATAATCGTTTTTTACTCATAACTTAGATGTAGCAATACATTTGTAAAGAACGGCATGGAATAACTGAATAGCGCATAACCGTACTGTAAGCCGACGTATACTACAAATCTAACCTAGAATGAACTTTAAGTTTGTCAGGTGTTAGTTTCTTAACGTTATGTAACCACTTCGAAACCGACTTAATTTTCGAGTAGATTCCTTTGTGGTTTCCGTTCTGCAATATTTAGAGTCTTTAAAACTCAAAAACTATCACCTTGACTGACTACTACAATCAAAAAAATTTAAATTATAAAATTTGGAAAAACGCGCGTCGTAGATTTTAAAATAAAAATATTGGAAGGAAAGTTAGAAGTTTGTAAAAACTACTTTTGATACAATTTGGTTTAAAAATCTTGCCACTATTTTTATTTTATTACTAAAAGAAAATTTTATTGTATTTTTTTTATATTTTACATCATTTATTAATATATAGAAGATAAAATGATAGATGTAATCCAGTGCGATTAAAAGAAAATTAAGATATTAACTTTTTGAAAAATGTAAACGCAAAATTATGGCTCCACTTTCTTGACACCAACGTGCCAGGAGTTCGATGAGCGGTGATACAGCTATGTTCTTGGGCTATGCAGAAAATCTAGATGTTTTGATTTAAAATGTTGACAATTTCCAGTTGAATCTACATCACATTTTGCTAATTGTAAGGCATTATCTAAACGAAACTATTCACGACTAGATCTATAATGAAAAAGTAACATTTACTGTGTATCTAGATCATCAAACATTATGAGAACAATATTACTTGGCGTCAACGTTAAATTCCTGTGGCAGTAATATGGATTGTCTAACCATTAGTGCTAATAAAAGACTATTGATGTGATGAACGTTACAAATGGTGTTACGGAAGTGGCCGAGTTACTATGCTCTCTATGACTATTTTTTATCAGAGAACTTTTTATTTAGAAAATTCAAAGTTAAATTAAGTGTTTAAATGTTTTTACTGCTAATAATTATATATGTATTTTATGTTACATTTTTGAAAAAGTTGATATTTATGATAAATCTTCGATGAATAATTTGCTCAAAAACATTTTCCCTATTAATAGTTGATGTAAAATTTGACTGATATTTATTAGTTTAATTACTGAATAACACCGCGATATTGAGATGTATTATTTCATATTCGCTCATTGGGAATTGGTTGTGGTTATTTATTTTTTTACTTACAACTTTGTAACTGTGACTAGCTATTATAGTTCTCACTAATTTAAGTGTAAAAAGCTGCCATTTTACTTATATATTAGATCAATTTAAATAAATAATATTTAATGCACATAATTTGTTTTATTTTTTATATATTTAACTCTTATTTGTCTGTCCTTCATCCAATAATTATTCAGCAAGCTGCTATAATAGCATCCCAAAAATTTGCAACAATACCAGCTTCAGATCGTTGTGAGCTCTCATAAATAAACTTATAATGGAAAATAAATTGTAAAATAAATTCCGGCTGCGTTGCCACTCTTGTCAAAAAATCTCTAGAGGTCAAGGAATTCCCAGTAACTACTAACCTCGAAACAGTATTTATAGAAGTAAATCTCTAGAGGTCAAGGAATTCCCAGTAACAACTAACCTGAATCAGTGGTTGTAGAAGTACGATCAAAAAACAAATATTTTATATTCAATATCTGCCTACCATCCAGTGTATCAGTTACTTACGTTGAATTAAAAAAACTAACAGATCAAATATTCTTAACCCGTTTCATAGTGGAAGATTTCAGTGGTCATAATATATTCTGGAGAGAGATTACAAGTTGCTTTCCGTCTAATAGAAACATGGTGCAATGAACACTTACTCTCTGCAAATCCTAAGAAGATATAGTTGCTCCTATATCTACCTCTATAAAGAATAACGGGCTTAATACCTTCAGATATTCTAAACTACAGTCTAAACTTTTCTGACGAGGTGAAATACCTTGGTATTACCCTTGACAGGAAGTTAACATGGAACTTGCACTTAAATGGTAGAGCTAAAAGAGTATATATTTCCTATGAGCAGTGCCAAACGTGAACCACCGGCTTTTGATCAGGATAATCGCCTAGGTCTACACTGATGTCATCAGGCCAATGCTAACATACGGAGCTATTGCTTGAGTACCAAAAGTGCTACAGGCAAGTGCAACTAAAAACCTAACCATATTCAGTGGATCGCTTGCATAAATATAACAGGTGTCATGAAAATAACACCAACTGCTGCAATAGAGTTGATCATTGGCATCACTCTTCTAGACATATATGCCAAAGAGGTAGCACTGGTGACAATGATGCGATCGCGCTCAGCTGGTGCTAACTTTGATGTTGGAATGGGACAATTGAGAACTCGTTTCTGGCGGGCAGACTCAATTAAACAAAAGTTTGTCTTTGACTAACCCTACAAAATCGAAACAAGACAGTATAGGAAGACAAACGTGGCAAATGCGTAATGCGTATACACCGTTTGCTCCATAATGGAAGAAGGCTCAGGATGTGGGATATACTCCAGATCACTGTACCTAAGAATGAAGTGGGATATTGGCAAAAATGTCAGCATAGTTCAGACAACTGAATGGTATTTCCATAGCCGCAAAAAAGATAACCTAAAAAAGGTATAGCCGGGAAAACTATAACTATCTGCACAGATAGCAAATAAACCTACTAACTGCTAACCTTGAATAGATCACGTATCACATTAGGGTTAGTAACGTGGTATCACGAGTCACTATCTCAAGCTGCGGATGGTAATAACATCATCCTGAGTTGGGTTAAAGGACACAGCAGGAATGAAACCAAGCGCATTGCTGATCAATTGGCTAGAAATGTGGCAAGCCTAAGCCTGTTAGGACCTGGGGATCTTTTTTTGTTTAACTACAACAATCGCGGAAATTGGCAGATATCACTCTCATACGCAAACCGTGAAAAAATGGAAAGAAGGGTAAGGATGTAGACTTGTCAGAGTAACACTAAGTAACCTTGAAACGTCAGTATCAAAGAAGTAGTTAACAATGACCAGAAAAAACCTACGCTTAACAATTTGTTTGTAACTGGTCATTGTCAACTAAGCAAAAACCTCCATACACTGGGGCTAGTAGACACACCTCTATGTAGGAAGTGTGAAAGAAAAGACGAAACTGTAGAGCATATCCTATGTGAATGCCCGGAGTTATCGTTAATACGAGAATACGCGTTTGGTGAGTTCTACACCTGCCCACATAAGATCTCTTAGTGACTTGCCCACCTTCCTAGAAATGGCAGAATGGACAATGATCCAAGGACAACAGCTCCCTGGGAGGATGCACAATAGGTCAACTGTAGCTTAAGTGCTGTGAGACAACTTGTCCTCCCTACTCTAAAGATACTAATATATTTTGGGATACTTCTACACATATTGTAAAGGGAATATTGTGGAAAATATAAGTCCAGACCTTTAATTAAATTTCTTAAATGATAACTCTCCAGATTTAATGTATATAACACAGACTCTTCAGCAATTGACCCAAGTATTTGCGACTTTACATGTCACAATTTACGTGGGAAGTTTTACCATACACATATGTATGGTAAATCACCAGTGATCACCATCCTATAATAAAAAAGAACCCTACTGTAACAAGGCAAGTTTTCTTTCTACCAAGATGGAAAATCGAGACGAAAAGATCAACTTTTTATAACAATCCTTAAAAAACCCAATGCCAAAAAATGTGAAGAATATCGAATAATAAGCCTTGCTATCTCCTGAAAACTTTTTAAAAAATTATACATAAAATAATATATAAAAAGTGTGAAGAACACATGACAAACACACAATTCGGCTTCAGGGATGCATTGGGTACTCGAGAGGCACTTTTTGTAATACAAGTTCTCTTTCAAAGATGTAGAGACGTGCATTGTGATATATATGTGTGTTTTGTTGATTACTAGAAAGCATTCGATAGGATAAAACATGACGAAGTGATGAAAATATTAAATTTCAATTGGCCAAGACAGCAAAGATCGTCGTATAATAAACATTATCTATTACGAACAAACTGCAGCTGTTAGAGTTGGGGATCAGTTAACAGACGACATAAAGATAAAACATGTGTGCTAAGGGGATGTATATTTCCTCATTATTGTTTAATACATATTCAGAGCACATTATGAACCTAGCGCTAACGGACAAAGACGACGGAATACTTATAAACGGAGAACGATTGAACAACATAGCTACGCTGATAATACTCTTACTTTTGCGGACAGTCTTGAAGGCTGCAGACACTTGTCTCCAGGGTGGCAGAAGTAAGAAACAGGTTTGGGCTTGATTTTAACATCAAAAAACCAAATACATGGTTATAAGCAAAAATAGGATACCACCTGGTCAATTACTAGTTAACCAACAACCTAGAATACAAATCACCAACTTTTGTTATCTGAGTGCAAACTTAAATGAACAGCGAGACAAATCCATGGAAATTAAGATAAGGATCGAGAAGACAAGATCAGCTTTCGTCAAAATGAAAAAAATCTTTACCAGCCACGATATAAAATTGGAAATAAAAATTCGTTTACTAAAATGCTACGTATTCTTCGTTCTTTTATATGACGTGGAGTCATGGACCTTAACTGAAGCATCACTGAAGAGACTCGAAGCATTGGAGATGTGGTGCTATAGACGCATGTTGAGGATTTCCTGGATAGACAGAGTTACCAACGAAGAAGTACTACATATAATGGGTAAAGAGCGCGAACTAGTCGTAACCATAAAACGTTGCAAACTCGAATACCTGGGCCATATAATGCGCAGTGAACAACGATATGACCTACTTCGGACCATACATCAGGGTAAAGTGCTTGGGAAAAGAGGTCCAGGACGAAGAAGAATAGCCTGGTTGCATAACCTGCGAAAATGGTTTAAC